TGTATCATTCTTGCATATAAAGTTAGAAATATGAAATACGAAACTATAGTTTTAAATGTGCTAGTGTGAGTGATTACTGGTGCCTCCTCCCTGAAGCCTTAATGACTTGGAGATCAACTTAATGACTTGTAAACAGCTTTGTTTGTCCTGTAAATCTAAGCAGTGGTTGGTGCTAGAAAGACATGTGATCACACCACCTGGTACTGGAATTCCATTTTGATCTTGGTATTTTTCCATGGAAGAGAGGATGTAGAACAAAAGGTTCCTGACCTGGGGGAAAGACTACGTAAGCAATAGGAAACTATCAGCCATTTGTCTTCGGCTGGCTTGGAAAACCCTGAAAGGATACAAACGGCTGGGTACCCAGGTCAGGGTAAAAGAGGTTGTTTCTGACCAGAAGATAATGAATTAAATAAAAACAGCTCTTTAGGGTAAGAATTTGCTCGTGATAAGTTTTTTTAGTGAATTAGAACTAGCTATGCATTTTCTTTTCATTTTAACTTAGTAACTTTCTTTGATCTGCCTGTTTTCACTTGTAATAAACACTTTTGTATTCTACCAGGCACAGTATAAATAATTGTTCCTTGGGGGGAATACTGTGCATCTCTCTCTTTCATTGATATTGGGAGTCTTCCACATGTACAACTTTTATGCAGAGAAAAATGGATTTATTTGGGGGTTTGGTTTCCTATGTGCTGAGCCCTGGAACCGCGTTCACTCACCGCTGAAGTGGTTCAGTATCTGTACTGCTCTACAGGGGGGCAGTGACCTCTATTCTGTGCCTTGTTTAGGGGAGACCAGAGGATGTGGCCCAGCAGGACAGGGTGGCGAGGAGCCCCAGAGAGCAAGAAGATGGGCATCAGTGGCATGATCAGCACACTGTCAAATAATCCTAAGGGGCCCTCTGTGGCAGTACCCTATCACATCTACCTTTCATAACTATTGTTCTTCGAGAGGTGCAGTTCATGTCCAGTCCGATAGTTGTGCGTGTACTGATTGATGTTTTAGGGTTACTGTCTCTTCTCCTGTGGTCATTAGCATGTTAGCACCCTTCATTTTCCAAAATATAATCTAGATGGGAAGTGTACAGGATATTCCTAAGATTACAGATCTATCTCTTGGGAAGGAGAAGAGTGTAGCAATGTCATCATTCTAGATTCCTTTCCAAATTTCTTAAATTGCCCACATTAAGAAACTGAAATGAGCCTCTAGAGTCTTCCTCTTTCGTGGTGAACTGGACTGTGAGGCTTGGGATCAATTTTAGGCTTACCCTGAAGATCTATGATCAGTAAGAATGAGCTGGTTTGCTGAGTCCCAAAAGCAAAGGGCTCACCCATCCTTGTAGAGGTCTCTTAAGAATCTCAACTGTTGGATATGGGAAGAGGGTGATGTGGGAGGGGATGCAGAGCCCTTCAGTAGTTGTCTAAACTTTGAACGCCTACACCTGGAAGAGCAAGAGACTGAACTGGGAATGATGATGGCAAAGCTCTTTTTCTGTGATTCCTGGGACTCTCTGCTTTCAGACTATGACTGGAAAAGGGGGAACAAACAGGGCAAGCTGGTCAGTGGTCCAAACCAGGGATCAAAGCACTGGGAATTTTAGCTTCCTAAAGAACAGCAGAGAATGTGAGGATGGGGGAACAAGGAAGGAATGTTTCGCTGATGACACAAAATCAATTTTAAAAGCTGGAATTGCAAGGAATAAGGTAGCATTGCCAAACCACCTTTCTGTTAGCACCACAGGAGACAGAGTATCCGGAGGGGGAAAAGGTATACAGACATACCACAGAACATGGTAGCCAAGTTTGAAGTTCCTCTAGTAATTGGTGCAGGAGACAATCAGATACAATTTAAAACAGTGACAAATATTAAGAACATTCTTGTGAATTTTTGTATCAGAAACAACACACATTCTCCTCCTTAAAAATGATTTCTACATAGAGAAGAGATTGGGTTCCCAAATAAATATTATTCAATGAATATTTGACAGAACAGAATTCTAGTCTGTTCTCCTACTGGTTTTGATACTAAAGTAAGAGTCATTAACATTTTCAAATTTAAACTTTCTGAACCACAAGTGTCTAAATATTAAATTAGCATCATTGAATGAAAAAGTTTACTCAATAACCTATTTTTTCAAACTCTGTACATTTCATACCTGATAGTGATGCAATCGGGCACTCTCCCCTTTGGCTCCTGCATGTCCAACAGTGCCCAAGCCAAAGCATCCCGCTAGAAACTGTAGTCTAACAGAAGTAAGCAGTGAGGAAGACTGAAATGCTGGACCTTGATGGATTCCCATTAATGGGGCACTACCTTTCTCCTCCATCCCTGATAGCAATACCAGGATCTGATGAAGTGCTTCCAAACGAAGCTTAAGAAAAAAAGAAATAAAAACTGATTAATCCACTTGATAAATATTATAAAATAAGAACTGTTCATTGAAGTATTTAATATATCTTAAGAATTATTAATGAGATTACCCATAAACCATAAATAAAATAGCAGGTAGTGAACTGAGAGTAACATGTCCATTATACCATGGAAGAGTTCTAATAGCATATGGTATATCATGGGGATACAACTCCTATGGCTTTTACATTAACATTTTCTGAGATTGTTTTGTTTTTTGTTGTAAGAAAAATTCTGAGATGTTTAACTTGATGTCTCCTGACCCCTTGTTCACAGCTAAAATGTTTTTAACTTAAGTTCCACCAGCCAAACATGATACTTAAGAAGCTTTAAATGCTGGGGCAGTATAGTGACAGCTATAGTTTAAAGGAAATCAAAGATTAAGTGTGTTCAAGCTTTCACTAAAAGTTTTATATATCCAAACTTATCTACTGTTAATATTGCTAAATTTAACATATCTGAGATAATTCTCTTCAAGTCTGAAATATCTGAAGTTTACAGAACACCATTTTAAAAGTTCTTATATAATTTTTATGTATTTCAAAAAGTATGCCCCTCTCTGCTCTCAAACATATTAAGTGGAAAGAACGCTCTCAGAGTTCAGCCTATTATATATTTAAAGAACACTGAAACAAGCAGTTTCAGTTAAAATTGGTAACAAAGGGAGAAAATATGAATATAATATGCTCTGTGGTTCAAGAATGTTTCCAGTGACAGCTTATGAGTTCACCCCATCATATGGATTTATTCAAGTTCAAATCCAGAACATGGACTTCGTAGACAAGGAATATAAAAATAGTGTACCTATAACTTACCTCAGCCCTCACCTGCTGCTGTTCCATTGCAATAACTGACGCCTGGGGGCTAGTGGACATACTTTCCTCAGGCTCCTTAAAACCTGGTGAGTTTCCTACATCTCCACTTACGAAACTGACAACATTTTCAATCAAAGTGTGAACTCCAAGGGATTTTGAAAGATCAAAATCAGATTCAACAAAAGAGTAAGAGGAGCCAAATAACCAATCTCTGCTGTGTTTTAGTCGAGCCCATGAGTCACTTAGAGGTTCCACTTGACTGTGCATTGCTCCTAAATATACACAATATAAAATTTCATAAATTCCAATTCAGTAGAAAATTGCATGTTGACAGTAGGTAAAGACTGAGTTTTTGCTATTCAAAACAGGTGGAAAACAGGCATTCATGTTTAATTATACCATGCATTAAGAAATTAGAGCAAAACACTTCAATTAAACAATAGCAAAGTAATAAACTAAAGGGAAGGCCATGTTTCTATTACTTCATATCCATTAAGCAGTATAGCAACATCCTACCGCAGAAAAAAAAAGAAAAGGCAAAGCCACTCAAACCATTTAGCTTAAAGCTAGAACACTGAATAAAAATGCTATGCAGCTAAATGGCAAACAGTGGTGAAGAAAAGAGCTGCAACAAAAGGAACTGAACCTTAAGATATTTCTTACAAGATCTGACTGTAAAACAAGACTTATTTTACTCAAACTATTATATCTTTTTTACAGGCAAAATGACAGTGTGGTTTATATCTTGTTTTGGATAAAATAGTTACCAAATACACAAGAGAGGAAGGGCAAATAAACCCGAAAAACAATTGTTATACAGAACATTTACTTTGTATTGATTATGTGTCAGCGGGCAGTATATTTTAAATGTAATAATTATATACATGTAATGTCTCCAAACTATAACTTTGATTTAATGAAATCCATTTTGAAATACGTCTTGATATTACTGGGTGACCATATCTACACTATGATATTTACCCAATTTAGACATGTCATCAAAAAGCTGAAATAGTGTGGAACATGGTTTAATTTCAAATCAAACCATGATTACCACAGTTAAACCACATCTTGCAGAAAGTTATTGGTACTCATCAGCAGGTTTTAGAGTCCTGCAAATCTGCAGATACCCTCTTTACATCCGCAGGTATCTGCATCTCTGGATGTGGACATCTGCAACTTATTTCTGCAGCTACAGATGGGGATACAAATTTTATATCTAGAACCCTGCAAATATCCATATTATATCCACAGATGTGAATGCAGATATCTGTAGCTTATTTTTGTAGAGACAGATGTAGCATGGATACCAATTTTGTACCTGTGCAAAGTTCTAGGTATTATTTTCCACTGCAGACAAAGTTTTCAAGATTATGGTGAAATGATCCTCTGGCAAAAATGGTACAATTTCACCAAGTAAATGAAGTTGTTTAGGCATTTAGCACTATAACTTTAGTTTTGCTAATCAGTATTTTATTGTTATTTTTGCTTAGTGTCACACAAAATATTTAAAAAAAATGTTCCTATTCCAAGAAGCTTATAATCTTTACAGACAGATAATGAATAGACACCCACACAGAGATACCCAGAAAAAAATCATATTAATTAAGATCTCAGTTGTTATAAAAAAAGTCTAAAAGTTTAGATTTTACTAAGTAAGCTACCTTAGAATCATTCAATATTAATATCTCTTGTGCACCTTGAGAACCACAGACATAATTTAAAAGTCAAAACTTTATTGCTAAATTAATTGTGCATTCACAGAACTGTGACATAACTCACCAGCATTTTTGTTTTAAACACTATGTTCAGGGAACAGAATTTAAAATTGAATTGTACGAATTCACTGTAGGCAAAAACTCATACAAATTCTAAACAGAGAAATTCAGTCTTTCAAAACAATCCACATTTTTACAGTTGACCATAACTACATCCTGGATTTCAAATATTTCCTTTTCCAAATGTGACCAATACTGTGGTTTAGCAGCAATTTATTATGAAAAAAAATTTGATGGATCAATACATTGAACTGTGAGAAATTATTGTACATCTCCCAATTACCCTTTTTGTAAAGAATTTTCATGAGTATTTGCATGACATATCTAAACATTTATTTACATAATAGACTATACTGGCTTCTGAAAGAACCATTACAATATCTTAGCCACCCCAATGTATTTAGCAACATAAAATCATATAAAAAACTGCTTTACATTTCAAGAATACTTTAGTTACTAAACACTTAGAGAAACCCAGCAAAGATCAATGTTAAAAAGAGGTCTTTAAGTGTTTTAACTTATGCTGGTTTGCGTTACAATCTTATTATTTACATTTAGACTTGTCTCGTGTATCACTTTTGCTGATATTTATTCTGTGATACCTGCTATCAGAAATGTCTAACTTTTTCAATTTTTTTTATTCTTGGTAATACGTTGTGTAAATAATAAAGTAAGAAGAACAAGAGCGATCAGGCTGCCGTACAGACAGATATCACTCTTCTTAGATTACCAAAATATCTAAAAGTGACCACTATTGGCACAAATAGTAATCTCAGTTATATTTGGAAACCACAGGTGAGATCCACACTCTTACTCCTGCCACCACACAGACGGCCAGAGTAATGTAAATGAATCCTAAAATCCCTGATCTCGACCAAGGAAGGATTCTGCCAGCATAGGCACTGTTGAACACCGCCCATGATATGCACTTCTTTAAACCCAAGAAGATGTGGCATGCTAGAGGGCCAGGCCACAGCACTACAGAAATTCCGGACCATGCTATGACTTACACCAGGCATGTCAAACTGGTGTTTGGAGGGCTGCATGCAGCCCGATTGAAATTTTTTGCAGCCTGCCAGAGCACTTTTATAAAAGAATGAAGTGTAGCTCACTGGCTGCTTGGAACACGTGGCCGAGTGCCTGCTCACAATAGGCCGGGCCACTCTGCACCGCAGCAACTGCTCATGGCCAGCCAGGTCACTCTGCGCATGCACTCACGGCCGGCCAGGCCGCTCTGAGCGCTCCTGCAGGCGCTCACAGATGACCGGGCTACTCTGCTCACAGAAGGCTAGGCGCTCCAGTAGGTACTCACAGCTGACTGCCATGCTCATGCCACCCCGGCGCCCCAGGCGGCAATGTCAACTCCGGGACCCAGGTATTAGGTTGGGGGGGGTGGCTATGGTTGCCAGGTGTCTGGTATTTTTGCTTCCTGTCCGGTAAAAAAATTCAGAGAATGTCAGACACCTAAAATGTCCGGTATTTTCTGATTTTTTTCCCTGGCCAGGAGGCCAAAATGCCAGGCATCTGGCAACCCTACAAACACTCAGCGGTTATTTTGTTAATATTTTGTTATTTATTTATGTATTTATTCCCGAATAAAATCACAAAATATATATTAATTTTATATCAATAAATGTGTCAATTTTTTGCAATTGCATGAATAATTATCTTTATGCAAAATCTCAAACTTAAAAAGTATCTGAAATTTTCACAGAAGCCTGTTCTATTTGATTAACCATGGTCAAATGGGTAGCAGGTTTAAAACTAATAAAAGAAAGTTCTTCTTCACACGGTGTCCTTGGCCTCTGTTTGTCAGAGGCTGGAGAGGGATGGCAGGAGACAAATCGCTTGATCATTGTCTTCGGTCCACCCTCTCTGGGTCACCTGGTGCTGGCCACTGTCGGCAGACAGGATACTGGGCTAGATGGACCTTTGGTCTGACCCAGTACGGCCGTTCTTATGTTCTTATGGTCTATACTTGTTTTTATATCAACAGAACAAGTTATGTATCACATACAAAATTTAAAAGTACCTTAATTTTTAATTTAAATACAAATTTATGTAAAATTAATTTAAAAATTATTTAATATGAGCAAATAATTTTACACATCAAATTATTGTATTATAAAATATACCTAAAAAGCTAGGTGTCCGGTATTGGTGCCTTCTGCCTGGCACCTAAAAAAAATTTTTTTTTTTTGCTCGACAAACCATCTGGGAACCCTATGTGGCCCTGAAAGCTATCAGTTTTCGTTTGTGCTGCCCTCAATAGGCTTCGAGTTTGACATGCCTGACCTATACAGTAGCTTGCTGTAATATCTAGAGGCCTCTTTAGGGCTGCCTAAGTTACTCTAAAGTCTCTCCAACCTCTTGAAGCAGACCAGAACCAGGAAGGTACAATGCTGGCCTAAAGGCATTTTAGCTTCCTTTTACCCGGAACAATGAGTTCTGTATTTGAGTTCACCCAAACAGAGAGTTCTTTAAAAGCATAGCATAGGCTCTCACCCCATGGCTCCAAACATCAAAGAGTTAGTAGAGGGAAAAAAAAACAGTGGAGAAAAACAGTTTTTAAAACCATGTATTGGATTATGCTACCCTGTCATTAAGGACTGACAAAATAGTAAATGGATTTTAAATTTTTAACAGGAAAAAAGAATTTGAGGGCAACTGCTATTAATGAGCAAGATGATATAGATGGAAAAGCTTCAAAACAATTAAAATTTTTAATTGCCATCATTGTTTTAAAAAATGTATATATAAGGCAGCAAGGACTCTAGGAAGCAAAATTAAACAAATGAACATGAAGAAAAGTTCCAGCTGAATACAGTCCGATTTTTTAAATGGACATATTGAAGCAGGATAAGTTTGGTACAAAATCAAGTTTTTTCAAAAGTTAGTGTATATAGATAAAGCAAGAATGAATTTAAAAAAACCATTATCTTCTGAACATTTTTTTGAAGTGACCATTAAAACAATGACGGAAAAAAAAACCCATTATCTTCTGAAAATTTTTTTGAAGTGACCATTAAAACAATGACGTATTTGGCACTGCATTAGCTTAGTTGTGAGATAGAGATCACTCTCTACAGGATTTCTTATAGAGCATTTCAGATTATGTGAATACAGCTCACCAAAAAAAAAAAAAAAAAATCAGAGCAATAAACTTGAAGCTTACATGAAAAATGATTGAATGCTTACTTGTCCTTATAAATTAGCTTTTAATAATGAATTTTTCAAAATGAATGTGGCACAGCTGCAATACATACTTTATAAAAAAACATAAAATATGTGGGGAAGCTAGAGAGAAAAAAAATAAACATGCCATCATGTACTTGCTTGAAGCTCTTCTTTTTTCTGGGGCTCAACTGGCCAAAAAGGAGTAAATACACTACCACACAAGAACCAGAAGACAAAAGGAGATATTTGATACAAAAAGACAACATTTACAAAATATCTTTCTTCATATTACCCCGGCTCAAATTTAACTGATCATT